AAAAAAAATCACAGCACAGAAACATAACCCCCCCTCCAGCCCAAACCAGAAGGCAGCACCAGGCAGTCCAAAGCCACTCTGAAAACAAATACACTCTAACTGTTGAAGCAAAAGTGCTACAAGGAAGCAGCCTCTTCACCGACCAACGGTTTGCCCTCTAATTTGAATTCCCCACCCTCTTCCCCACCTTTTTTCTGATCGTAACTCAAAGCTCCTGATGCAAATCAAAGCAAAATTTTGCAGCCGGAGCTGGTCGTAACTCGAATTGGTCATAAGTCAGGACAGTCATAAGTCAAAGCACCACTATAACTGTACCATTTTTTTGTCCCTGCTGGAATGGTTTTTTCCCAGCCAGAATGGATTAATAGTGTTTCAATGTGTTCCTATGGGAAATGGTGCCTTGATTTGCGACCAACTTGAGTTACGACCATTATTATGGAACAAATTAAGTTCGCAACTCAAGGCACCACTGTAATACAGTAGCCAAAATCAAGGATCTTTTTAAAAATGGCATAGACATAAACATGGTACAAAAAGGGGCATTTCATGCACAGAGATTGACAGTGTGCATGATGAATATAAGCAAAGTCCTTCACCCTGTTTCCATAACTGCATGCATGCAGCATAACTTCCTACTTAAAGATCTGTAGACGCAATTAAATGGTGCTGGATTCAGAGTTGTTCAGAACAGGTACAACTTTCACAGACTATCATCACTGTTTAAACCAACAGTGCTGATTACCTCACTTACTTTTGGTACTGGACATGCTCCTACTTTTTTTTCCAGTGATATCCGCTCCAGACCACAAACTAGCAAAAACTATAGCATAGCTTTAACTGGCTGAACAGTTCAGAGTTTGCTGTAGAGCCATAGGCTGGGAGCCAGATCATCCCAGAGTAGCCAGTCTGTGTAGTCATGAGCAAGCTGCACAGTCTCAGAGCATCCCCAGAAGGGAATGGAAAACTACTTCTGAATGCTCTCTACCTAGAAAATCATGAAAAGGGTCACCATAAATCAAGTCACCAAGAACTGACTTGACAGCAATAGCACAGCATAAGTTTCAGACTTTGCACACCCTCTTGTAAATGGGTGGTGGCAATGCTGTGTCCTATTCAATAAACTGCCAGTTATCACAGATCTAGAAAAACAAAAGTGCAATGAAGACAGCTTCTCTGCAAGAAAGAGAAGGGGGATACTGTACATCAGGGGTCACCAACCCCCAGGCTGCAGACTGGTCCCGCTGGGACAGATGAGCAGCAAGCAGGTGAGTTGTGAGCAAATCTCCGCCTCCTGTCAGTGTGTTCCTATTAGGTTCTATTGCCGCTGCTGATCTGAAAGAGGCGGAGATTCATCCCCACTCCCCTCCTGCTGCTGCTAGGTCAGCTGTGGCATTAGACTCGAATAGGAGCCTCCACTCCTATTAGGTTCTAAGCCGCTGGTGATCTAACAGGAGGTGGAGCTTCAATTGCAGCTCACCTCCTGCTCACGACAAATAAACCCCCCGCCCAGTCCTTGGGAGAATGGTCTTCAACTAAACCGGTCCCTAGTGCAAAAAAGGTTGGGATCCACTGCCGTACATGATCAAATTAGTGACAGCCAAAAGAAAGCAAGAACTTCCCTCTGAAAAATTTCCGCATTTGCCTCAGAATTTGAAGTTTCAAAATAAGTAATTAGAGAAAAATGTCTAATTTACTGACAACTCATTTTTGCCACAATATGCACACCATTACTCATTCATAAAATGAAGAAACATCAATGGTAGCTTTAGTTTTCTTTGTCACAGTCTATTGAGAAAAATAACAGTAATTTGTTTTTTAAAAATTAAAGGCAAAACATAAAGAAAATTGGTTTTATTCCTGTCCCAACATAATAGTCTACTCACCCTGATAGATGCTTTATTGCAAAATACTTTGTTGATGGCAAGCCAGGTGGGAAGATCTAGCATGTTCTGAAGTACTTCTTCATCCAGCTCTAAATTGGTTAGCTGTCCTTCTCCTTTTAGGGTGCTCAAGTTGATTTTATCTGGTGACAGGTTTTTGGTGAACCTAAAATAAATTGTTACGCATATATTACCGCAAAGCAGTTACTTGGTCTATAACTTTTTATGAAAATACACTCAAATAGATCCATGAAGATGGGTATCTTGTGAAAAGTAACTCTAGATCTGAAGACTAAACATTAAAATATTCACATGAAAATTAGAAGATGCTGTCGCAAATGCACACTTGCAAGTCTATTGGATTCACGCCATATTTTACAACCAGTACACAATTATCTGTTGTACACTTTTAAAACTACATTTTATATATTTTAACCATATAATATGTTTTATGAACTGGCTGTACACTTTTTAATTGCATTTTGTATATTTTAGCCACATACTATGTTTTATGAACTGGTTGTACATTTTCAAACTGCATTTTGTATATTTTAGCCACATACTATGTTTTATGAATTGGTTGTATATTTTCAAACTGCAATTTGTATATTTTAGCCATAAATATGTTTTATGAGCTGGTCACCCAACTATAATAAATAAAATTCAACTCACGCTTGCAAGTCTACTGTTTGCTTAACTCAGAGATGGGAAGTGTGGTCATCCAGACATTGTTGGACTACAACTCCCAGCATTTCCCACCACTGGTTATGAGGATTACAGCTGACAAAAACTCCAATCCTACAATGATCAGAAGGCAGTACTTTTTCCATCCCTATTTTAGATCAAACAAAGACCATGTTATGATATGGATTACCAACCAACTAACCACTGCAATGGATACTTTTGGAGTTTATGTTTAGAACAGATGGAGAATGAAAGAAACTTTGAATACAGAATGTCAAGGTAAACAAGAAGAGTTGAAGGCAATACAGTATTGGGGTAGCAACAAGAATTTGGCTGATGGACACCTGTAAGAGAAAAAGAAAAGGGGAACGAGTAGAAAGGGGAGGAGACAGGCTGGTTAGAATGAATTTAGGATACTACTATTTGCAACTGTTTTCATCTCAGACTTCATTTTATTGTAAATCCGTTTTTATTATTTTTCAAATGGACACATTTACTGTGAATTACTAGTGGACCACATTGTTTACAGTTTGAAAACTTAGCCAAGTACTTATATTGCTATTGATTAGTTGGGCTAGTGTAAATACAATGGTGTAAACTGCGGTGATGAATCACTGCTAGTCGATGCATTGCTGCTTGAATCTTCTGTTGTACATCAAGTCACACAACTGGCATAAAATTTTGTATACAAGCAGGAGCTTATTGATCAAGGGCAATTCAATGCTGTCATTTACACTGCTGCAGTTGAGCTGCCAATAAGATTGTGGCCATTAGGTTTATACAAAACCTTGACTCACTCATGTGGCATTATAAAGTAAGAGTGCTGCTAATCAAGGGAAAACTTCCATGTGTAGGGAAACTGAATCATATAACAGACACTACTTGTTCATCCGACAACATCACATTGGCAATAGGATATTATTTATTTTATTTGTTTAAAATATTTTATCCTGCCTCTATCTTTAAAAAGGACCCAGGATGGCTTACATCTATAAAAGACAATATTTAAAGCTAAAAACAGTAATGAATTTATTGGAATTTACATTCGTGGAAGTTGGACTTCTACCAGATATCAAGAAAGTTAAAGTTTCCTATTTACTATTCTATCTTTGTGAATGTTTGGTAATCTGATCAACATTTTTGTGATATAAAAATAACCATGGCATCAGGCTTTTGAGTACTACAGAGCTATTCATGAGGCAAAGATATTCTAGCAAGAATTTTTTAGGCAAGAACTTAGGCTCATGGCCGTGGTTCATGTCCTCAGACTACCAGAAAGGCAAAATGCAGTTTCTGTTTCTACATAAGAGATAATGGAGATATTAATTTAGGGGTTCCACATACACTGGTTGTAAATCCAGCTTGGCGTTTTGCAGTATATACTTTCTTAATGTTGCATCAATGTTTGTGTTTCTATTTTGGGAGATGACTGTTGAGTTCTAGTACTCAACCAATGCTGAAACAGCTATCCAACCTTGTTCTCAAATGTAGATGAAAACAGTGTCTTTCCTCTAATCATATGCATGTCATTTATAAAGAACCACTGAGTAAGAATCCTTCAAGTGAAACTTGGTATTTCAACTGAGCGGCTTAAAGCCAAACCATCCAACCAGGCCTTTGAAAAGTTCTTTTTCCACTTAAAGGAATACTGGAGGGAGGGTGTTTAAAAATTGAAGCCATCTATTCAGTTCTGATCCTGTAAAACTTCAGTGAAGACTAAATCAGTACCAAAAAGCAATGCCACAAATATGACATTCAGTGGTCTGAAGTACTGTTTCAAGCTATTTGTATTTTCCCCCTGGTATGCTATAAAGTATAGAGCAATTAATAAATTATAAATAACATCAAATATGCACTATTTGCTCTTCTTTCCTATATGATTGCCAAAAGGGAAGAAATCTATTCCAGCATGCACTTTATCCAAAGTACTTCCGCAATCAGATGTGACCACATTTTCCAACAATTTATGATAAAAGAACAAGAATAATTCTTATCAATCACTGAAGACCAAATGCCTCTGAAAAGAACATGAAAATATTTGACACTCCCAACACTGAGATCTTTTTCAACTAAGAACTGATTAGAAATCATTTTCACTTCCCCATGTATTTCTCTCCCCGCCTCCCCCACCCATACTTACTCCTCTTTATTCTGGACAGTTTCACAATAAAATGAAGTAAAATGGCTTTTATTTATCTTTGAACAGGAATGCTGCAATACATCAGCTTTATCCAGTCATAAAAGTATATGTTGTAACTCAGTGGGTTGCAGCATTTGGATCAGGAGGAGTTCAATTCCACAATGCGGTTACTGGGAAAAGAACCAGTTTGTGCAGCCTTCGGCAAGCTGCATGGTCTCAGAAGACCACCACAAGAAGAGAATGATAAACTACTTCTTAGTATATATTTTTCCTGAAAAAATCCTGGCAGAATTAAGCTGATGCTATATAATAATTATTATCCTTCCCTGAAATTGGGACCATCATTCACATGAATTTTTGCATGGACATCTAAAAAGAGTATCTTCATATATTTGAGCAGACACATTTTCCTCTGCTCTGAATTCCACTAGAACATCTAGGTGGAAAAGATACAAATAATTATTTGCACACCAGAATTAGACAGAATTATAATTAAGTGGTTTATAAACTGGCTGACCATAAAAGAGAGAAGGGAACAAACCAAATTTAAAAACAGGGAAAGCACAGTAGATAAGAATGGGAAAATACAATGAAAGGGCTGTACAGAATAATACTGATACTGAAAGGTAGAGATGGGCATTAACTGCTGAAGTAGTTCATTATTTTAGCCAAGCAGGTGTTTGGCATTTCGCACCCGGTCAGAGGCAGGGTCCTAGCCTCCCTGTCCCTCCTCCTCCTGGCACTGCCTCTGCCCTGAAGGACGCGGGGCTGTGAAGCTCTGAACACCTGCGGCTAATAAATGAACCAACATGAAGAGCCTATCTCTACTCAAAAGTAAATTTGTCATACCACTAAAGAACACAGACCGACGTGTACTTTGGGATCATATATAAGGAAATCTAGTACAGGCACTCCTCACTAAACGATCCAGTTCAGTTGTTATAACTAGGTCATTAAGCAAAGAGCAATAATAGTGTATAAGGGAGTAATAAATCATGTGCCATTGAGAAGGGGAATGGTGAAGGTGCAAGAATGGATTTAAGAGGGTCGTAAAGGGTTGTAAATCCAAGTGATAGTACAGGCAGGCGTTTAAGCAATAGGTGGTGTGTTAAGAATGTTGTACTTATTGAATCTATAGTTTTATTAAATGTTTTAATGATGGTTTTTAACAACAGTTGAGAAGGGGAATGGTGAAGGTGCAAGAATGGATTTAAGAGGGTCGTAAAGGGTTGTAAATCCAAGTGATCCTTAAACAGGTAGGTGAGGAGTGAATGTATCAGCTTGATGTAGGTCACATGAAAAAGATCACACCACTGTTCCGGAGTTCTGCTCATGGGGCTACTTAGATCAGCGTTCATAGAAAAAGAAAGCCATCAAATCCAAAGCCAAGTTGGCCCCCTCACTTTTGTCATTCCATCATCAGGCAAAAACCTTCTTTTTCAGGCAGGCATTTAAGCAATAGGTGGTGTGTTAGGAATGCTGTACTTATTGACTCTAGAGTTTTATAAAATGTTTTAATGATGGTTTTTAACAACAGTGGGCAAAATTAAACTGTGTATATTTATGTAGGTGGAAGCCAATGAGGTCATTAGCTGGTGCTGGTAAAATGTAAGTGAAAGCTTCCTATCTCTAGAGAGCAAGGGGTTGGAGCCTAGGAAACTGAAAATGGGGAATAGGATGTTCAACTCATTTAAATTAAATTCTACTGAGACCACATCATCAGCTTCCACAAGTATAAATTTATACCAACAGGATTTTGGTCATTATGTGTTTGCTTTTTAGTACTGGTTGTTTTGATGTTTTTAATGGTTCTAATTGTATAGGTTTAATTGATTGTGAGCTGCCTTGAGTCCCTATAAGCATATAAAGAACATAAACAAATACACAAACATTGCACAGATCACACATATAAATGTATAAAACCCAGATTAGAGAATGCAGAAAAAAGAAAACAAGGATAATAAAATGCATCCCAGAATGGAACTTGTAAAATAAAGAGCTTTAGAAAGCAATGGATTGAAGACTCCCATTACAAGAATGACTCTTGACTTCCCATTATCTACAACTACATTAAATCAATGTCAGAGGTTAAGATTTGCGCTTCAATCACTTCGGCATAATAAGATAAATGAATAATACATATAAGGAATGGTTAAGGAATCAAATGATCTGTGCCTTCAAAAGTGAAGTGCAACCCTCAGTTTTCATCCTACTATAGATCAGATTATAGAGAATGATACAGCAGATATCTCAGTACATAATATTACATGTAAATGCAACAGCCATCAAGGAAGGACCACAAGACATTTATTCATTCACTTTAGGCATGGTATAACCTACCTGTAATGAGACATATAAGAGTGTGGAACATTATTTGTAAAAATTACACTACCTTTTTTTAAACTTTCAGATTTAACAGTGGAAGATTGTTCATTCTCTCTTAATTTGGCAAGACACCAGAAAATATATTGATGTTATTAATAAATGAAAACCCACAATAAATTTGGTTAAACAGTCTTTTTAAAACAGTGCAATCCTATACATGTCTTCTCAGATGTAAGACCCACTGGATTCAATGGGACATCTCTAGTCAGATGTGCCTAAGTCACTTTTGCTCTCAGAAAATCATGGTAAATAAAACAAAGATTCAATGGATTATAAATCAATGAACAGTAACTATCTATAAAATATCTCATTCTTCCCCTATGCTGGTTTCCAAAATAGAAATATTCAGCCATGGTTTATGAGAGTGAGATTAAAAGGTTACCAAAACATCCTCAGCTCTCACAGAGCAATCCTACCGGGCTCCGTGCAGAGAGCCAAAGGCACATCAACCATGTCATGCAAAACTTTGCCAAGCTCATGACAGCAGGGTGCAGGCTAGGAAACAGATGTTTTCCTTTCCCGTAAAAATGAATTTTATGAGTTTTTCCCATTTAGTTTTAATGGAAATTAGTCTGTTTCAGCTCCAGAGGTGGCACAGCCCTGCCACTCTTTTGGAAGCAAGGCAGGCCCTCACAGCACACCTTCTTTCCCCATCTCAGAAAGAGTTCCAACAATTGGCTGAGGAGGTTTCTACAGTGCCTCAGAAATAGGGTAATACAGTAAACCTCACAGCCTAAGAGCATCTCTCTCACACACTCTCTGCTTTAGGAGGGAAACATACTTTGTGGCATCCTACCTACTACACCAAGGCAGAGCTAGAATTCATAAAAGTCACAGGGTCACTTCACGGAGGAGATTGCTTCACTTCTACTGCTTCATTCATGTAGAAGCATTACTGCTGAACAGATAACCAAGGCTGGAGTTGTTTATTTAATTTATTTACATACCACCTTCTGTCCACCATAAAATTCAGGCACTTCTAGGCAACTTCCCATCCTGGTATGCCTGAAAGATTGTTTTGCCGTGTGCTCCTGGGCTATACAAACTCACCCAAAATGGCAAAAAAAGAATTCATCATCTTCCAAAAATAGGCATTTCAACATGTTCTGTCAAACACTGTCATTAGCAGCAAGAGTGTATTTAACCATATATTTCTGGGAAGCCTGGTTGGTAAAAAGAAAAGGTGTATTTTAACACTTTAAAGATTAACAAGTTTTATGTGATGAAAGCTTTCATGAGCTACAGTCTACTTGCATCTGTTGACATGGGCTGCAATTCTCAAAAGGTTATGTCTGTTAAAATTTGTTAGTCTTCAAGATATCACTAAACTCTTCATTATTTTTACATAATACTATACAAAGCTTCAGAAGATTTTGAATAACTGGTATAGAATACTGCACATCTGAATACTGTACATCCTTTCTCAGAGAAAATCAATTGTCCATTCTTCCGCTTCTTTTCTACATGCTTGTTACCTTAGTAACTTAGTAACTTAGACTGCAATCATATGCATGCCAACATTTTATTGTTTTTTTAAAGCAACTCTATGTTTCATCATACAGCCTGATGATTTCATAGCTGTACATACAAAAAACAATGCATATTTCAAAATGACAGAAGGGGCAAAAACATTTGTTTCCTTTGCATGTCTCCTCCGCACATGCACACTACTCTCAGAGGCAGTCAAGAAGGACTTTAAAAGGGCATTTCAAAGAAACACAAGCCTCCTCGGCTCGTCCGCCTGTATTTCTCTCGAGCAACTGGCCACTGACTAGTAGCTGCTAGCATGGCAGTCTTTAAAGAGGATTACCTCGGAGACGGATCTATCAAGAGTCCAAGGACAAGCACTATCTAAGGTGGTTATTCTTTCGCTCAAAACCACGAGACGGCGACCACTCCCTTCCCATCGCCATTTGGACGGGGGTGGTGTTGGGGGGGGCGGCCAAGCTGAATCATAGTCC